CCACATCCTCTTCTGAATCCAGCTTGCATTTCTGGAAGTTCTCTGTCAATATATTGCTGCAACTGGTTTTGAATTAAGTAAGATTTTACTTGCATGCGATATTAATGATATTGTTTGATAATTTCCACATTCTGTGGGATCACCTTTCTTTGGAATGGGTACAAATATGGATCTTTTTAAGTAAAACTGATACGCTGAGAGAAGAGAGAAAACAAAACATATAAAATGTTAAATTAAAAACAGAATGCAAAAGAAAACAGTGGAAGACAAGAAGAGGAACAAGTAGAAAATAGTTATAAACGTGATAGATATTATATGAGGAATCATTTTAAATGATTTTTTATCAATATCTATATCAATAATCATTTATATCCATGATCACTTTAAATGGGAATGCTCTAAACATCCCACTTGAAAGACCGCGACTACCAGAGTAGGGGGAAAAAAAAAAAGACCAAACCAGATGTTGTCTAAAAGAAATCCACCTTAAATAAAAAAAAAAAAAAACACAAATAGTTTAAAAATAAAGGAATGGAGCACCAGATGGCTATACTGGTGAATTCTATGACATATTTTAAAAAGAGTTAACACCAGTCCTGCTCAAACTCTTCCAAAAAAAAATAGATGAAAGGTCACTTCCAAATTTATTCTGTCAGGCTAGGGTTAGTTACCCTGAAAGGAAAGACACAGAAAAACACCAAAATGAAGGAAATCTACAGATCAACATCTTTTGTGAATATAGGTACAAAAATCCTCAACAACAATACTAGTATACTGATTTCAACAGCATATGAAAAGGATTATACATCATGACTAAGTGAGAATTCAAAGGTGGTTCAAAATACCAAAATCATTATAATATACCACGTTAATTTGAAAAAAAAAAAAAAAGCAACACTGCCTTGGACTCAGATCCAACTTATAACGACCCCTCCTTGGGGTCCAAGGCAGTATCACTATGGAAGTAGATGCCCAACCTTCCTTCAGAGGAGTGGCTGGTGGATTTGAACCACCAGCCTTCTGGTTAGCAGTCAGATGCCTTAGGCACTATGCCACCAGAGCTCCCACCATGTTAATAGAAGGAAGAAAAAGAAAAATATGGTCATGTCATTTGATACAAATAATGCCTTTAACCAAATCTAATATTCTCTCATGATAAAAAACACTCAGTCAAGGAGGAATAGAAGAGAAATACCTCAACCTGGTAAAGAACATTTCAGAAAATCTAACATCATAATGGTGCAAGACTGAAAGCTTTCCCCCTAAGATCAGTAACAAGACAAGGATGCCCACTTTCACCATTTCTATTCAACATGGTACTGTAATTTCTAGCCAGAACAGTAGGCAACAAAAAAATAAAAGGTATCCAAACTGGCAAGGAAGAAGTAAAAATATCTCTATCCACAGATTATGATCCTATATATAAGGAATCTCAAATTCACAAGAAAGCTACTCAACTAACAAACAAATCCAACAAAGTGTCAGGATACAAGATCAACACCAAAAATTACTTGTATTTCTATTCATCAACAATGAACAACCTGAAAAGAAAATCAAGAAAACAATTTCATTTCCAATAGCATCTAAAAGAATAAAATACTTAGGAATAAATTTAACCAGAGAGCTGAAAGACTTGTGCAATGAAAATTAAAAAATAATGCTGAAATAAATTAACTAAATAAATAAACGTTGTATGTTCATGAATTGAAAGACTTAGTATTGTTAAGATGTCATTACACCCAAAGTGATACATGGATTCAATGCAATCTCTATCAAAGTTCCAACAACTTTTTCTGCAGATATTGAAAAGCCAATCCTCAAAAACATATGGAAATACAATGGACCCTGAATAATGAAAACAATCTTGAAAAAGAACAAAGTAGAAAGACTCACTTTTCCCAGTTTCAAAATATACTCTAAAGCTACAGTAATCAAAACAGCAATCGCCTGTCTGTGAATTTGTTGTTCTGTGCTGTCTTCAGTGTTGCTGTGATGCCGGAAGCTGTGCCGCTGGTATTTCAAATACCAGCAAAGTCACTCATAGTGAAAAAGCTTTAACAGAGCTTTCAGCCTGAGATGGACTAAGAAGAAGGATGTGACCAAGTCCACTTCTGAAAAAATTGACCACTGAAAACATTATGAATAATAGGGAAACATTATCTGATAGAATGCCAGAAGATAAGCTCTTAAGCAGGTCAGGGAGACGAACAGGAATACACCCAGACCAAGAATAGATTTGGCTGAAGATAATCTTACATATGCACTTGTGCTACAAAATTAGCCACATACATTACAGAAGCAACGGATGACAGGATGGGAGGAACTTTGCAGAGACAACCAAACATCTTGTGAGAGAGAATCACCAGGCCTGGGGGCTCAGGACCGTAGTCTTGGGGGACATCATGCTCAATTGGCACACATAGTTCATAAAAATTATGTTGTACAACCTGCTTTGGTAAGTTGCAACAGGGATCTTAAAAGCTTCCGAGTAGCAATCTAAGATGCTACTATTGGTCCCTCTTTGGCTGGATCAAAGAAGAATGAAGAAAATCAGAGTCATCTGGAAACAATTAGCCCACAGATAATATGATGGACCACGAGGACCTCAGCCTTCATGACCTGAGACCAGAAGAACTAGATGTTGCCTGGCTACCAATGCCAACCACTTGGAAAGGGATCAAACCTGGAGATTCTGGATAGAGTGGGAAGAAAAATGTTGACAAAATTGAAAAACACAAAAATGACCAGAATTACTAGTCAGATAGAGACTGGTGGAACCTTTGAGACTATGATCCTGGGATACCCTTTGAACCTAGAAATGGACTCACTTACATGAACTGGGCTCTCAGCCCAACATTAGAAAGACCTGCATGCAGAACACCTACCCCAGGGCAATACACCAACCTACTCTAGGGAGATGCACCCCTTGGATCAAGCAGCCATGAGACACCAGAAAGGTAGCATTCACATAGGGATGCCTAGACAGACAGGAATGAATGGATGAGAGGGGCACAGGGAGGGGGTGGCCACAGGGAGGAGAGGGGAGAGAGTTTCTTACGCTTCAGGATGATAATCAGGGGCATGAAACCAGATATGTGTGAACCGTTGAAAGTAAAACAAGTTTGCTATGTAAATTTGCACCCAAGGCACAATAAATAAATAAATAAGCTCCTAAGGTTGGAAGGCACTCAAAATAGAACTGGAGAAAGCTGCCTTTTGGATTGAGTGACGCTTTCTGGAC